AGCAGCATCTCATGTGAAGGCAGCTCCCACTTCCTCCCCCTCCTGCCAGTTACCTGTTGGCTCCAGCTCTGTTTTCCATTCCACCAAGAAGTTCTCAAGCCAGGTTCTACAGTCACCCATTGAGGTCTTGTGTAAGAATTCGGACAGTTCCCTGTCATTTTCCCACTTTTCTTTCATCCAGTTGGACCCAGAATGCATCTCTCTCCACCTTGTGTTGTCTGAGTCAAAGTGGAGCCACATCTGTCCATTGAAGCCAAACTGCCAGGAGCTGTTGGATTTATGCAGACAACACATCCTGCCCTCCAGGGTGTGCAGACCTGCCCCCATCAGAGAGAAATCAGCCTCCTCTCTTAACAAATCTTTTGTTCCACACAATACCACCTTCCCCGGATTCCTAATCTGGCTGTGTTCTGTCTGCCACTCCAGCCCTGTCTGGGCTTTCTGGAGGGACCAACATCTAATTTTTTAAAAACATGCACACAATCAATTTCCCTCAACCCAGTATCAGCTCTCATGCCCCTGGACCATCCTTACTTACCCCTGGCCATGCCATTTTCTGCTTTAGTGTCAGCCAGTTGCTGTTTTAGCGTATCCCCCATTTCTCTCAGCATGGTGTTTTGCTGTTCCCAGGTGATTGTGGCATTCACTTTCCCTCCCAGGGCACTCAAGAATTTGACCTTGTCCAGGCCACAGTCAGAGGAGAGAAAATTCTTGTGGTCCACCTGGCCTTGGACTGTACACCATTGCTGTCCAGGTGCTGCCTTAGAATTGATGGTGAAGTCATAGCAAAGGGAGTGAGTCCCTGTGAGGGAAAAGGCGAGCAAGGGTTGGGCTGGTGAGAAAGGACCCTTTAGGCACCCCCTCCCCATCCCTCTGAAGGGCTGAGCTGGCAGAGCAAGAATGACTCTTCCCAAGCTGTGTGCTCCACCTGTTTAAGGTGGGCATATTCCCCTTCTTTGAGGAGGAGGGGACAGCAACCTCATGTCCCAGGACATGGCCCACTTCGCCTCTGCCCTTTGAACAATGCCTACACCCAGCAGCACATCACCTTGCAATGGCCCTGCCAGGCTGTGAGGGGAAGGCCTGCCTGGCAGAGGATGATCAGAAGCAGGGGAAGGGACTGCATGCTGGGTCATGGTGGGATAGTGAGGATGGGATCACAGCTGCATGAGGGAGTGTTCATAATTATGGTTCATAGCTTTTAGCTTGAGTGTTAGATGGCACTAGTGCCTCAGGGGATTGCGTTCTTTTAGGTTGGAAAGTGATATCCTACTCTGAGTGAAATGGGAAATCTGTAAGTTCAAAGAAAAGTAGTAGAGGAAGGAATCAAAAGTACGCACTTTGAGGATCATAAAAGGCTATTGTATAATATGCCATGTTGCATATTATACAATAGCCAGAAAAATGCCTAGTCTACTGTGCTTTGTAAGAAAGCCTGGCAGATTCTTGTTATCAATTGTATTTGAAAGTGTCTGGTACCTGAGCCAGACATGCACACCCATAATCCTAGTGGCTTAGGAGGCTAATACAGGAGAATTGCAAGATCAAAGCCAGCCTTAGCAACTCAGTGAGACCCTGTCTCTAAATAAAATTCAAAATAGAGCTGGGTATGTGGCTCAGTGGTCGAGTGCCCCTGAATTCAATCCCTGGTACCCAATAAAAAGAAAATATCTGGTATGCTAAACCAGAACCAAAATTAGTAGAAAGGAAGAAATAATAAATGCATTAGACATGAAAAGGCAGCACAAACGATTAATGAAATAAGGAGCTGCTTCTTCTGAGAACTAAATGGAAATGATAAACCCTTACCTGGACTAACTAGGCAAAGGAGAGAGAAGACTCAAATTCAGACAAGAAAAGGGAGACATTGACTCCATAGAAATACAAAGGGTCATTCGAGAGTATTAGCGACAAAGATATTCATGTTTGTTATTATTTGCAAAAATTTGGACCTAGAATAAATAAACAAATTCCAGATCACTTACACATACATACCTTACCCAAGTTGAATCATGAAGAAATAAAAAAACTGAGCAGACCAATAAGACATAACAAGATTGAATCAATAGTAATAGCCTTCCAGCAAAGAAAATCCCAATACAAGAGAGCTTTATTGCTAAGTTCTGCGAAATATTTAAAGAACAGTTTCCAGTTTTCCTTAATTTATTCCCAAAAATAGAAGAGAAAGAAATTATGCTAACTACATTTGATAAGATCAGCATTGCCATGATATCCAAACCTGACAACACACAGAGAAACTAATCCAGAAAGTAGGATGCCATCAATTAAAAAGCATCTACACAGCAAGGGACACAGGAGCATAAAATAAAGTCTGCACAATGAAAGACATTCTTTGCCACAGTTCCTTTGACAGAAGATTAACATCCAGAATAAATAAACATCTCAAAAAACTTATCACCCCAAACTCAAAGAACTCAATCTGTAAATGGGTGAAAGAACTAAACAGATATTTCTCACAAAAAGAAACACAAAAAAATGGCCAACACATATTTGAATAAAATGTTCAATATTTCTAGTATCAGAGAATTACATTGGAAAAATGCAAAACTACACCAAGATTTCATCTCATTCCACTCAGAATGACAATTATCAAGAATACAGATAATAATAACAAATACTAGTGAGGATGTGGAGAGAAAGGTACACTCACACATTGTTTTTGGGACTGCAGATTAGTACATCCACTCCAAAGAGCAGTACAGAGATTCCTCCAAAAACTAGAAATAGAACCTCCATACAACTCAGCTATCCCACTCCTTGATCTTTATTTAAAAGAACTAAAATCAGCATACTGTAGTGACACAAACACTTTAATGTTTATAGCAGCACAATTCAAAATAGCCGAATTATGAAATCAGTCCAGATACCCACCAAGAGATGAATGAATCAAGAAAATGTGGTATATAGACACAATGAAGTTTTACCTAGCCATAAAGAATAACGAAATTATGGTTGCTCTCAAACTTTTTCAGAAGGCACAGTGCTGACAAGTCTGGAGGAGTGCCCTAGAGAGCACACCTCATATACCCTCCTACCTGAAGTAGCAGAGGGATCCCACATGTGAGTTCTACAGCAAATGTGGGTCTCTCAGGTTCTGACATAGTACTCAGAGAATCAAACCCTACCAAACACAGCCTAAGAAAACACAAGGAATTAACAATGCAGATTCCGTTTGGAATTAACACTACATGGAAAACAAATATCCGAGAGCACATCATCAAAAGATCAAAAAAAAGCTGCTCAATAAGAAGACCCCCACATAAAAGTGGAAGAGAGAGCCATCCCAACAGATGTACACAGCTCAACATAGAAAAACAGGCAATGCCAAAAAACAAGACTGCTCGATCATATGCACAAATGCCCGAGTGATCAAATTCAAAGACGTTGAAGTGGTTGAAATGGGGACAAAGAATTAGAAAGATTGTTAAAAAAGGCAATAACTCCAAAGGAGATACAAATAAATATCTGAATGAATTAAGGAAAATGATGAAGAATAGGAAAGAGCATTTCAATAAAAATATGAAAATTCTGAAAAAGAACCAGGCAGAAATCTTGAAAATGAAAAAAGTAATGTAAAGAAATTTTTCAATTAAAAAGCTCAATGAGTCAAACTAAAAACTCAGTTGAGCTGGGCACAGTGGTGCCTGTAAACCCCGGAAGTAGGGAGGCTGAGATAGGAGGATTGTGAGTTCAAAGCCATCAATAAGGGGCACTAAGCAACTCAGTGAACCTTGTCTCTAAATAAAATACAAAAATGGGCATAGATGTGGCTTAATGGTCAAGTGCCCCGAGGTTCAATCCCTGGTACCAAATAACAGTGACAATAAAACCATCTCAGTTGAATGCCTCAGCAAGAGACTAGATCAAGAAGAAGAAAGAATATTAGGGTTTGAAGACAAGGTCTAGGAAATTAACACATTCAAATCATAAGAACAAAAAATAAATAGGAAGTGTTTTAGCCAGCTTGTTTGCTGCTATGACTAAAGGACTTAACCAGCACAGTTGTAGAGGAGGAAGAGTTTATTTAAGGGCTCATGGTTTCAGAGGTCTCAATCCACAGATAGGAGGCTCCATTCTTTGGGGCTCAAGGTGAGGCTGAATATCATGGCAGAAGAGTGTGGCAGAGGGAAGCAGGGAGTGAGGTCTCCACTTGCTAGATATGAATATATACCCAAAGCCACACCCTATTCCCATGTCCTCTGGCCACAGCCTACCACCTCAGTTACCACTCAGTTAATCCCTCTTAGGGACTAAATCACTGATTGGGTTAAGACTCTCACAACCCAATCATTTCTCCTCTGAACCTTCTTGCACTGTCTCACACATGAGCTTTTGGGGGATACCTCACATCCAAACCATAACAAGAAGAGAATGTACAAGATCTCTGGGACAACAGTAAAAGACCCAGGATTTGAATCATAGGTTTAGAAGAGGGATTCAAGCTACAGACTAATGGCATGAGAAAACCTATTCTGTGAAATAACATAAAATTTCTCAAATCTTGTGACTGATGTGGACATCCAGGTACTGGAGGCATTTGAACCTCAAATACACACCATCTGGGAAGAATCTCTCCGTGATGTATTATAGTTAAACTGTAGAAAGCACAAAACAAAGAGACAATGTTAACAGCTGCAAGAGGGAAGTGCCAAATCACTCACAAAGGCAAAGCTAGGAGAATAACAGCAGATTTCTCAGAAGAAACTCTAAAGGCCAAGAAGGCATGGAAGGATATATTTCAAACCTTGGAAGCAAATAACTGCCAACCTGAATTACAATATCTGGAAAAGTTATCTTTCATAATTAAAGGCAAAATAAAGCCTTGCAAGGTAAGTCTACATTAGAAGATTTATGAACACTAAACTAGGATTGCAGAAGGTAGTCAGAGGAATTCTACACGCAAATGAAGAAGGATTTGAGCAACATACACTGTCCTTTGCTGGACACCATAGGAAGTACTATTTCAAAGTTTCTATTCCTTTATTTTTTTTCCAGTTTCAACATTTAGATTATGCAAAATTTCTTTGGATTATCTTATTTTTACACTCTGTTTCAGCAGTTGCAGCTATAAAACTTAAATACTGATATAAAATTTGTGTGAAATGGGAAATGAAGATGTCAGTGTACAATCTGATTCCTGGTTGGGGAAATTGGATGGTGCCCAACAGATACACATGTCTTGTTAGTAAATTTACTTATTTAAGAAAAAAATAAACATGTTGGTTTTTCTTTCAACTTGGGTATATGATTTTCTTAATTGACTCTCATATTGCTACAGCATAAATATTTATTATTTAGCCCTAATTACCTCATATACAGAATTTCTAGATATTTCTTTTATTTTAGAGGTGCATTGACAAATTTACTATGGCACAAAGGGTTCCATAAACTGGAGGCATCTGTCCTAGGGATTGTGAAAGGCCCCAGTTGTGTTCTCCAGTCTTGCACAGGCTAAAGGTTAGACTCACTGCTACCTGTTATTTCACACAAATGCAACCCCAGCATCTGCCCACATATCTGTTCTTTCTTTAAACCACCCCTGCTGACTGACTCCCAACCTGACCCTCCCCAAATCCAGGCTGATTAGGGAAGTCTCCAGCTTTCTCTGCAACAAAATTATCCTGACCTTGTGGCTATATTTGATATAGTCTGGGCCTCCCCATGTCTTTGTGTCACCCCTAATCTGTCATTAATCATGTCAGGGAGCCATGCTGTCATTTTCAAAGAGAAGGACAAGGTTTCCATCCATCCAGCCATGGACCAATCAGCACAGCAGTTCCAGTCTGGACTGAGTCATGTTGAGGCTGTACTAAAGACAGTGAGCACATAGGAGTTGGTCAGGGGAGGCTGGATGGGGAGAAAAGAATCCTTTAGCCCCTTGCCCCTGTGACTCCAGAAGGAACCCATTTGGGTTGGCTGGTAGAGCAGGAGCCTCATTCTCAAGCTCTTCATTTTGGACAACCATTTGGCAAAAACATGTTTTGGAGAGCTGTTACAATGAGCAAAAACCTGGACTGGGTATGGGGCATGTTGCCGAAGAACAAGCGTCTCTCCTCCAGGTACCTATTGTACACTACCTGAACACAAAGTTAACTTTCAGCAGACAAGGAACAGCCAAAGCATCCTGGGAAATGTGGTAAGTGAACAGTAGGCTCAGGTGGTCAGAGGGCTCCTGAAGGAGAAGTTGGAAATTGGCAATGAGTAGGACCCAGGGAAGTAAGATTGTAGGGAGATTCTAGAACCAAGGCTCTATTTCCAGAATATCCAGAGAGTGAGAGAGTTTCTGGGAAAGGAGTCCAACCTTGAGTGACAGGAGACAAGATTCAGC